GGAAAATATGGTGGAGGCCGTGCATAGCCCTAGCTGCCGGCTCAACATCCCCGCTCACCTCCGTGTGGCTTTCGCCCTGCTAACGACGCCTCCTCGGTTCAGTACCCTTCTTCGACCGTAACAGCCACGTGTGGCCCACACCTGTCTTTTCTTCCTTCTCCTTCTAGTAACTTCCGCTTTATAGATAAATTGATGGCATCCGCCTCTATCCCCAAATCCACATGTTTCACTTTGCTCCAGAATTTTGCAATGCATGGACATAGGGATTTGCCCCAAAGCAAAACAACACAACAATTCAAATCAAACGTGGGCACATGTAAAATGAGGAGAATTTAATACCTTGGAAAATGCATTAAAATGATAATGTTGAAGTAAATGCCCTTCAAAGCTTCTAAAAAGCCTCAATGTAATTTAAAATAATTCTGGATGGACTACCTTTTAAATAGAATTTCTTAACAATAAATGCAATTAAATTGCAGATCAAAGACCTACTAAAATGAGACACTTTCACTTTATGGAACATCATATATTTAGACTACTCTTATAAAATTATGACAGGCGGTACTGTAAAATTTCAATAAATTTTGGTAAATCAAATAATATATATACATATAGTTTAAACCTCCACTTGAATTTAAATCAAGTTTGTATTTTCAATGGGAAGATACAAACTAAGTGTACTATGTAAATATATTTTTCAGATCTGTAATAATCCTTCTAAGCCTCATGAAATTTGCAATTCTTTTGAGATAATTGTATCTTTAAACAATTCAAAAGTTGTCTGATTTAAAAAAAAAACACCGGAAAAGGATATACAAAGGAAAAGTAAAGAAACCTGGGCTTATGTTATTGGTCTTTAGCCTAGCCTTGCGTAGCAGCTAGCCCAGCAGAGCTCATCCCTGAACCGGCTGTAGCTGCAGGGCGAGCACAACATGTTAGAATAAATCCGAGGCATACTGTTGATCATCCAAGGACCAAGCAATCACACGAGCACGACACCAAGATTTGTTAACGAGATTCACCGATATGGTTACATCCCCGGGGCTTGATTATGGGTGCTCCTCTCCATGACACGGCTACAATACCGCACCCGGTCGTCCTGGACACCGGTACATGCCGCCGGCTTCACCTGCGTTCCGGTGCTATTATGTTGGCATAGGTTACATCGTGTGTCTACCCCCGCTATATATGAGAGGCCTAGGATACAAGTATCCTATTAGGACACAACTCCACATCCTATGTAAACACAATACAACTCCTAGTCCAACTGTAACCTACCTTGTACACTATATTCGACACAACTCTAACAAACTCCACCTTGACGAATATTCTCCACCACTTTGAATTCGTCAATGCGTCAAACTTCCATGTACATTGGACCTGAGCTTATCCCATGAGTACCGCTGCTACTCCAAAGACTCCATATGACTCCACCTGCAACTTGTAGTCCCTTCTTTCTTGACCACTGTCAACACTCGAGCAAAATTAAGTTCTTTGTTACTCTTGTTTGTGCTCCCAACTTCCAGAGTATCAGTCCAACGTCATCACACACCGATCACTGACCTGCGTGAAAGTGAACAACTCACATATTGGATGTCACACATAAGAGTTACCTGAACTCAACATTATCGCTCCTTTCTTGACCGTCTGTCTGAAACTTGAAGGAATTTCACCGTTGCTTGTAGTCATCCTGAGTCAAATTCGCAGTTGTCTCACCACATGTATGACCACCAGAGCCCTGACCCGTCTCCATGTCCGTGCATACCGCATGCCTCGCCGCTATTACCACGTCGAGCCTCCGCTATCCCGGTCGAGTCTCAAGGGTCGCAAACCCACACCACTCAACACCCACTGCAGAGTATCATCGATCATCACCGACCGATGACGAGTTTCATGCTTTCATCAGACCACTGGGCTCCAGTCCAAACTGCATGTCACTCGCTTTTCCCAGCTGAATAGGCTTCGACTCTCTGTCGACTTACGCCGTAGCCCCTCAATCCAGCTCCACCTTCAACATGACTCCATGGCAGATGATCAGTCCACCCCTCGCGTCCCGTCGACTTCAAGCTCACATGCGTACGCCATCTTGAATCAACCGCACGCCATAGTCTTGTCGAAGCCACACAAGCCTCGGGCCTGCACCACGTGTTTCCACGCCCAAAAGTCGGTCACCATCAGCATCACGCTCCTATATCATCAGCGCCAATTCCACCACCGTCTTCTGTATCAACCGACTCACGTCGAACTGTCAGACTATCTAGTCCGACCAAGCCGAACTTGTTCGGCTATATGACACGCTCGAGGCTCCCAAATCATCTTCCGCGAATTTCCATCCATCACACATAATTCCATCTTAGCTGGCATGACTTCCGGCAACGTCCTCAAGCATCCCCGTAGTGCCAACAAATCTTCCACCATTGTCTGCCATAAACCAAGGTTTTCAGTTCCGTGAACTTCTCCACCTCAAACCTGACATCCGTTGACGTCATGGTTCTTCGTACAGCTAACCGTGTGAAAAATTATCTGAGCTCTCCTTATATGATGTCCAAATACACAAGCAAAACCTGACGTGGTACACCCTCATGTACTAATAGCAAAATCCAAAACAAGGATTCCTTTTGACCTTCACGTGATTGCTCTTCTTTGGCTCAAACCCCGACGCTAGCTATGCTTTGTCCTGCCTTTTGATGGATAAGTATCAGTGAATTTACTTGTTGCCGATTCGATCTGTCTATGTCCGTGTCGTAGGTGGACTCGGTCCTCTTTTTTTCCAAAGCAAATCTCAGATGTGTGTACGTACGCCTCGCACGCACACGGCCTCGGCCACAGCCCCGCCACGCCCGTCATGGGCCTGGCTCGCTAGTGACCAGCGCATGCGTCGCGCCTGCTGCTCACACGCATTACGCCGCCGCCGAGTCGATGTTCCATATGCGCCGCCTCAGACGCTCGCCCAATTGATCCACAATCGCCGCACGTCTCGCCTGCTGCGGCCAAGCAACACGCCTCTCTCTGATTGGCTTTTTTGAGAAGGTCACAACCGTCGAGCACATCTGCTTCTTAGATCGCTCCTCGCAGAACTATCAACGACGTCTCGCCGCTTTTCTTCCGCTCCAACTGCAATCAATCCTGCAGATCTCCAAAGATACCTTCCATCTCCCCTAGATCAACAATCTACGGCCTTCGAATAATCTAGATCATAATACCATTTGTTAGAATAAATCCGAGGCATACTGTTGATCATCCAAGGACCAAGCAATCACACGAGCACGACACCGAGATTTGTTAACGAGGTTTACCGATATGGTTACATCCCCGGAGCTTGACTATGGGCGCTCCTCCCCATGACACCGCTACAATACCGCACCTGGTCGCCCTGGACACCGGCACATGCCGCCGGCTTCCCCTGCGTTCCGGTGCTATTATGTTGGCATATGTTACATCGTGTGTCTACCCCCACTATATATGAAAGGCCTAGGATACAAGTGTCCTATTAGGACACAACTCCACATCTTATGTAAACACAATACAATTCCTAGTCCAGCTGTAATCTACCTTGTACACTATATTGGACACAACTCTAACACAACATCTTCTTCCTCACGCAGCTGCTCCTCCAAACCAATCTCTCTCTCTCTCTCTCCCAGCCTTTCCGTGGTATATTTGTCTCCTAATCTTTCTCCATCGTCCCGTGACGGTCTCCCGTTCTCGAGCCATCTTCTCCGCGACAGTGTGCACCACTGTCCATGGCCTCTGCCTCGTATCTGCACTCCTCGTCCTTTGCTGTTGTTTATACTATTCTGTTCATTGTGATCTCCTCTTTCTGTCACCTCTCTTTCCAAGTCACTGGTGCTCTTGCTATCCAATTCTCCCGGTTGCTGGACATGTGTAGATGGGAACCATCCAGGATGAGCCGCAGGTGGAGAAGAGGATCTTGGTAATATGTAATCCGTCATGTGCTTGTCTAGCAGAGGTAATCCCCACAAAACAAAACAAAACAAAGAGGTTAGTCAATCCCGGGGCCACCAGCAGCACCTCGTCGAGCGAGCAGAAGCCTTGCGTCTCCACCATGGTGGCTATGGCGGGCTAGAGTGGATCGAGGCTAGGAGAGCGGGTGGATCACGAGGGGATCGCTGGACGATCGCTTCTGTCGATGGCCGACGGGATCGAGGTGGTGGTGATGGGATTGCTGGACCTCGCCTAGGAAAGCGACGGCATTTGTCTACTTTTAATGCATCTTGTCAGACATTAGTTTCCTCAATTGTGATAACTCGTCTGATAATATAAGAGTACCTTCCTTTTATGTCAAACAACATTGGCTAGATCAACTGGTTTGTGTGTGCGTGATGGTGACCAAGGTTCGAGAGTTCCCATCCAACACAATTTCCATCCAACACAATTTCATTTTCTTTTTTTTTAAGCTTCAATGCAACGCAAACCAGAAATTGGAAAAAAAAATTAACGTATACGTAAAAAAGAGGACATACCACGACGGACCAAAGACGAAAAAGGGTGGAGAAACAATTCTCCCTTTAATATTAGGTAGAGAAAAGTTCCCCACGTCTGAACAAAAGCACCCAACTAACCCTATTTAAATTCACCAACCTTACTATATATACACGAGAACACAACGGCATGGCATGTAATGTAACAATCCGGACTGAAATCTAGATACCGGGCACAGCTCAGCCCACCTATCTGAACTTGGCACAACATGTGAGCCCAAACTGATCAAAACATCAAGTAAACCTGGACTTATGTTTCTAAAAAAAGTAGACATGAACTTGTTGCAAAAGTAAACATGGACTTGGATCAGCTACATCACCACAAAATGCCAAGACCACATCAAGAACTGATGTACTGACAACCACTAAATCACTTTGATTTCTGTAGCAAAGGAATCACTTCAATACAAATTTGCAATGAATTTGTAGCTGCACAGGGATTTGAGAAAAAACCTAGAGCTCTAGCAATAATCTTGTGCTATGATAACAAAAAGCCTTTCATAGATGAAAAAACTGGGAGGAGACCCTTGGTCGTTTGGAGGCTCCCATGAGCTCCACCAATGACGGCAATGGCCGAGGAACTGCCACGTTCATCGACCTGTACAGCCTCCTCAGCTTCGCATTCAAAACCTTCGATGACCCGACTCCAGCAGTATCTGCTCTGTCAGTGTCAGGGCCTTCAGATCTGTTGCTAATGTCGGATAGAACAGTGCGATCCTCAGAAAGCAGTTCTTCTGTTGCTTCTACTTTAGCTTGTACTGTCTCAGCGGTGAATTTGACACTCTCCCTGGGCTTGCAAATTTCCAAGAACTTGGCTCTTGCAGTTGAACTCTCTTCTTTCACCTCGAATCTAGATAACCTGATTTGTTCTGCACCCTCATTGCATTTCACATCCTTGGCAAGTTCAGCACAGCCGTCCCTACTCGAGCTGTGCTCACGCACTTCACCGTGAGTAATGTCGATTACTTGAATGCCGTCGATGGATTCACAGTCCTGCAACTCGGGTTCTATTGCTGAACCATGAAGCTCGTTTGTTACAGCTTGAGTTAAATCAATCATGTGGGCAGTGCCCTTGTCAGATTTGAAGTCCTTCCATAGCTCGAAGGATTTTGCATTTGAATTCTGCAATTCCTCCTCCAATTTGGCCTCCTCGGCCACTTGAACACTCTCATACTCGTCTTTCCACAGTTCACAGTCCTGAGGTAATCCAAACCTTGCTCTGCCAAACAATGTCACAGGCTGCGCCACTTCAATTGCAAAATCTTGTAACACTGGTTCTTCATCTTGTAATACCTGGCTGCAAACAGCAGACCAAGTGTCTTCTGACTCTTGTTCCTCACTCTGCTTGATGGCTTCTACGGTGGTTATCGCCGCCCGCGGTGAGCCTGTGACAGTAGGATTTCCATGAGGTATTCTGAGCAACTTCCAGATGGGGTCCTCAGGGCTTAGCCGGGACAGGAAGCAGTGTTTCTTGACATAGGCCAGATCCATGGCAAGGCAAGGAGGTGTTGTCGAGATGACCCACTTAGGCTGGAGGAATCGCAGGGCCTGCTCCAGCTCCTCGCGAGACGAATGCATCGTCAAGCACACGTGCCACACCCCGAATTCATCCCGCATGGGCTCCGTCAGCGCCGGCTTCTGCTTCAGCGACGCCTCTGGTGCCGCATAGTGCGCGTACCACTGGGTAGAAGGCCCTGATGATGAGGGGCTCACGCTGCTGCCTCGCCCGTGCTAATGCAAGCATCTCCGTTGCCCGCTCCGACAACCGGGGGAATTCGATCACCTGAAAGCGAGAGGACGCGTCCTCGGTGAGGATTTCCGGTGCGACGAGCGAGAGGGTGTGGTAGCACTCTGAATTCTTGTCCCTGTCGACGTATATCTTCGACCCGAACGCCCTGGACACCTCGATCAGTATGTCCTCCTGTCCCAGCATGTCGGACACGAGATATACCGTCGGCGCATTCGGGTGCTTCCAGATGCAATTGATCACCTGAAAAATGCAATGTGATGAGACACACAGGTTCAGTTGCTGGTCTAATTTACTGTTGAATCAGCACACATACCTGACGTATGGAGGCCTCCTTGGCCGGGAATTGCAGCGGGCACTTGGCAAACGTGCAGTCCAGGAAGAGGTAGTCAATGCGGCACGACGGCGGTGGCTGACTTGCTCCTGGTGCCTCCGCGGCGATGTACCTGAACGGCAGGCCCTGAATGCAGTCAGAAGTGAGGCGGCAGTCGCCGGTGTGCAGGACGTTGCCGAAGGCGCCCTCGAACAGAAACATCACCGCCCCTGCGAGCAGGGGAAGGATTTAGAATCGGCCTCGGTGGGGTACTAATGAGGGGATTAGCGAGAATGGGAAGAGGACGGAGTTGGCGGACTGACCAGGGCAGTGGTTGGCGTCGAAGGCGGTGACGGTGAAGTCGCCGTCGGGATCCGGGACGAGCACCGGCGCCCCGAGCTCCATCTCCACGAACGCGTCCGACCCAAGCTTTGAGATGGCAAATTGTTTTTCCATGAAACGGGAATGGGGATGGGATGAAAATAAATGAAGGGCAGCGAGAGATGCGGTGCAGGCTGGCGTTTACCTGAGGGAAGATGTGGCGGTGTCGGGGAAACTGAACCACGAACACCTATGGGGCCGGTGGACCGAGCCCCTTCGGTTTGGCGGGGGCGGAGATCACACGAAGAGCAGATCGAGGCGAAGCACACGAGCAGTTTACCCAGCTTCGGAGCTCTCCTGAGAGATAACACTCCTACTGCTGCTTGTTTGATTATCTGGTGTTCTTGCTCCAAAGAGAGAGAGCGTAGTGTTTTTCTGGGTTCCGAACCAGTCGAACCTCGCGAACCTCGCGAACGTGTCGAACCCTTCGAACCGAACCTCCTCTACGTTGCGCATGGGCCTCCTTTTATACGCTAAAGGGGTCTCCGACAGGTGGCAACGCAGAGAAGGATACAAATGTAAAAAGTGAGGTGGTTGCTACAGTTACTTGTACAGTGCACCCTACCTAACCCTGACGGCAGGGGACAAGGGCATTAAATGTCCGTCTGAGTCGCCCAAACAGTGCAAAAAAGGATCGTTAGGGGCGCCACCGTTCGCCACGATGGCGATCTTGTCAGCTTCGCATGCCACTGCGCACCGCTGGCTGCACAGCCTCCTTCCACGCGTGCCTGGAGAGGCCCCCAGAGCGACACGTTGGTGGATGCGCTGGAGCGTGGGCACAGAGTGGCCGCCTACCGCGGCAAGCGCCTTGCCGCTGCTGTTATCTTGTTGGGTCCGGAAGCTTGTCGCTCACCGGGCCTCGAGGTACCTTGGTTGGTCTTCCCGGCAAGCTCCTCTTGCCGGGGCCTTGTTGCCTTGCCAGAGCGCGTGGCGCGTCGCAGCAAGTTCCTTGGAGTGCCTTGGTTGGCCTTCCCGACAAGCTCCTCTTGCCGGGGCCTTGTCTCCTGAGCTTAAATACTTTGTTCTTGAATGGCTTCAAGGGAACCACGGAGGATCTTGGCGTTCTCCCGACAAGCCTTGCCGCGGGGTGCTGCAACTGCCCGTGCACAAGTTCGGGGTACTAGGGTTCCCCTATTCTAGTACACCGACAGAAGCCCCCGGGCCTGGGCCAGACACGGTGCCGAGCGCTGTTGGGCCAGGCCCAAGACAGGGCACGGGCACACGCGGACTGGGCCATGCCGAATCTCGCTCCGTATCCACCGCGCTCTCCCCTAACGGCACGCGTTGAATGCGGCGTCGTGGGAGAGATCGTGGGTGGTTCTTTATTCGGAAGGGCGAAACGTCCGCCCCGTTCCTCTTTATAAGCAGAGGAAACAGGGGCAGTTCGTTCCCCCTCGCTGGTTGCTACTACTCCATCTTCACGAACCTCCGCCGCTCCCCCCCCTTCTTCTCGAAGCCGAGAGAGCAGCGCTCCGCCCCTCATTGCCACCAGCATCACCAACGCCGTCGACCTCCCCCACCACCTCCGCCATGGCTCCGAAAGCCGACAAGGGAAAGGGCGTGAAGTCGGCCGAGGCGCAGCGGCTCGCGGCGCTGTGGAAGGAGCAGTCGATCTTCTCCCCCCAGCTCGGCGTGAAGGAGCTGAGGGAGTACTTCTACCTCTTTTGGGCGACGGAGACGCGGGCGCATCCGCGCACGAGGGTACTCCCGACCGCTGCTTCGGAACTGGCTCCAAATGGGTACCCATTCTTCGCGCTGTTCTTCTATTGCGGGCTCTGCCCGCCCTTCTCGGAGTTCTTCTGCGATATCATGAACACCTACGGCTTCCGCCTCCTTGATTTCACCCCCAACGCCGTTCTGACCATGGCAGTTTTCGCACATTTGTGCGAAAACTTTGTCGGAGTCCACCCCAATGTTGCCCTTTTCCGCCACTTCTTCATACCTCGGGTAGAGAGAGGAGAGCCGCTTGCCGGAGGGATCGCCTGGATCTCGAGAGTCGGCAAGAAGGAGGCGTACTTGGAGGGCGAGCTCCGTAGCAAGTGGGAGGAGTGGAGAGCGGAGTGGTGCTGGATCGTCGAGGAGAATCCGCAGCCCTTCACCGCCGTGCGCCAAGCTCCAATAGTGCGCGGCAATGACTGGAGCAACGTGGCCCCGGAAGACGAGAGGCTGAAGATCGCCATTACTAGGATCCTTCGCCTCAGACTTGCCGGGCTCATTGTAGGCGCTGTAGGCGCAGATTTCCTCCGCCGCCGCATCGCCCCCCTGCAGGAGAGGGGGGGCCCGCCTGGGAATTCAAGAACTCGGCGGACATCATGAGGCTGCGGCCGGGCCTCAACTACAACTTCACCGTCATGGAGCTGGATGCAATGCTCCTGGAGTTGTTCAAACGCGATTCCCAGCACCCATTCACGCTGCCAAGGGGTGTCGTTCCATTGTGCAATAATTCTTCGCTTGACCGGATCCGCGCCATGATGCCGTTGTGCGATTCACACGAAATCGTTCCAACTTGGCAAGAGCCTGCGGATGACGTCGTGCAAGCGTTCTTCACAACTTGGAAGAAGTGCCGGTCCACGCTGACGAGCAGAAGAGCCTCACCCGTGACACCACCGACGAGGAGCTGCAGCGCATCGCCACTAGGGCGGAAGAGGTTGCGGCCGCAGCTGCCGCGGGCGCGTTCGGGTTCACTATGGAGGAGGCGAAGGCGGCAGAGGCAGCAAACCTCGCCGAGCGCGTGGAGTTCATTGGCGAGGAAGAGCCTGCCGGTTCTGAAGCTGAGCCGAGCGAGGCCGGCGAGGAAGAGCCCGAGCCTTCAGAAAGCTTGCCGCAGGCGGAGCCCCCGGCCCCGCCAAGAAGGCCTCTTCGCAGGGGCGCGGACGTAGCGGGGCGGCAGCCGGGTCAACAGTCGCCGAACCGTGCGACACGCTCTACCGCGGCAAGCAATGTTGCCGCGGGAGCGCCTCACGCAGCAGCGGCAACTGGAGCGGGATCTTCCCGGGCCACCGCCACCGCCCCCGCCAAGCGGGCAAGGGATCCTACTCCTCCGCCTCGCCGCACCGGAGGGGAGCCGGACTTCGATCTTTCCGCGCTCAGCTCCGACGAGGAGGAAGAAGAGTAAGTTTCTTTGGCGCTCTTGTAGTTCTTCAATCTTACTGTTTTTATCTTATATCTGACTTGCTTCAATCTGGACTCCTTTCTTTTCAGGACGCTGCCCCAGAGAGCGGCGAAGAGGGCCAAGGCCGCGGTGATTGTCATCGAAGATGACCCCACCGTGTCAGCAGGGGGTGGGTCCGAGACCACCTTGACGGACCCGGCAACCACTCCTCAAAGCAGCCCCCAGCGCAGCCCCCAGCGTAAGTTCATAGTTAGCTTTCCGCTGTCAGGCGCGCATGAGTGCTTTTTCCTTTGTTGATATCTTGCTTGTTGATTTGTGTAGGAGAAGAGCAGCCATATCAGGAGTGCCCGGAAGCTGGTCCCGAAGTGCCATCTGCTTCGACTACGCCGCCAAGGGAGGAGTTCCTGGTAAGGGAGCGCTCTCCGGCAAGGGGCAGCACCGTTGATCCTGCGACGGCCGAGCCCGCAACTGCAGATCTTGGCACATGTAATTCACTTGTCCAAAAACTTTCCCTTGGGTTCTTCTTCTTCTGATTTTCTTCTCTTGGATTTTTGATTGATTTTTCTCCCTTCTTCGTTCTTCAGACCCATCTGCTGCTGAGCCAATGGAGACAGAGGGCGCCGGCAAGGAAGGCGCGCATGGCAGCACTGACGACGCCGCCACCAACGAAGAAGGGGCCGGTGTTGATGAGACCGCCGGCGAGGAGGCCGCCAAGGCTGCCGCCGCAGAAGCCGGCGAGGGGTCGGGCAATCGCACTGACGACCCTGAGGCCGCAGGAGCGCCAGGCGCTGCGCCGACCGCCGATCCCCCTGCCGCTGCTGCGGGGCCGGGCTTCGAGGAGCCCCAGCCCGGCGCCTACTTGAAGGCCGGCGACGGTATCTTCATCAAGCTACCCTGGGCGTCGAGCTCCAGGGCGCCGGTCGAGGGGGAAACTTTCGATGAGGAGGTGCTCGCCTCCGCTGGACTGTTGTTGGTCGACGCGTCCAGCAGCAGCAGTGGCGAGCCTGAGGAGGAGCAGCTGCTGCAGAAGTTGCTGTCACTCTACCACGCACGGCAGGCCAAGC